GTCTGTCTGTCTGTCTGTCTGTCTGTCTCTCTCTCTCTGAGAAATAGCAATAGCAATAGCAGTAGACTTATATACCGCTTCATAGGGCTTTCAGCCCTCTCTAAGCGGTTTACAGAGAGTCAGCATATTGCCCCCAACAATCTGGGTCCTCATTTTACCCACCTCGGAAGGATGGAAGGCTGAGTCAACCCTGAGCCGGTGGGATTTGAACCGCTGAACTGCTGATCTAGCAGTAGCTAGCAGTAGCTTGCAGTGCTGCATTTAACCACTGCATCACCATGTCAGTTAATACTTAGTTGAGTAACGTTTAGCATGAATTATGGCCTTGCAACATCTTCCCATGGAGTGAACCAAGTCTTTTAGTTCTGCAGCTGTTATAATGTGAAACCAAGATTGAACAATTGCTTCTGTTAACTGGATTTTAATGCTGGCTATATTTGGGTATCACTTTTCATAGAATACAGATAATTGAACAAACTTTGTTGCATTACATTCTTGATTAAATTATATTTCCATTGATATATAATTTTATGGTCCTACTCGGAAAAAAAGTGGTGTTATTAGCCATCAAGCCTCAAAAATACACTTTTCCCAAAAAGTTTGCACAATTTTGGCTACTACTGCATACATATCTTCTCTTCCAAATATTCATTGTAACAGTGAATTATCTTGCAATAGGTGCAACAAGGGTTTAGCAGTTTTACTTCCATTTTTCTATATATGCATGAAGATGTGTTTTCTTTAAAATTAATAATAAAAAAGTAAATAAGATTTTTTTTTTCTCCAGTGAGGGTCACACATTAGAAGTTAATTAACAATAAGTACAATAAGAAGTGGCCAAACTGATTATTTCTCTTTGGTGCTTGTGCCACAGATGGAGCCCATACTCTGGCGTGTGCCTTGATGCTTTTAAATACAGACCTACATGGATACGTAAGTGCCTTATTCCTTTTAAGTCATCAAACCTGGTGCATTTGAGATGAGGGTAGTGAAAGAAAAAAAGAAAAATGGCTGCCGGATGGATCTCTTCTCTCCAGGACAGGGGTTGGTTCCGGCCGCCATTACTACCGGTTCAGTAGTAAAAAAAATTGCTCACTTTGCTCACATGCATGCCAGATGCGCTCTCCGTGCTCATCCACATTTTCATTTAAAATGATCTGCACATGCGCACAAACGAATAAAAATTACATTTTTAAAATGATGATTGTTCTGTGCATGTGCAGAACAGAAAATCAAGATGGTGCTGCCGATCATAGAACTGGTACGGTCACGTGTCTGCCAGAATTACTACCTATTCGGCCGAACCAGATGAGGATAGAAACCCACCTCTGCTCCAGGTTCAAAAGATAAATGACCATGGAGACACAGAATCGCAGGGCTGGGTGGGTAAGGAGTCTCCAGAAGACCATTTTAAGCCCTGCAGGTTGCCAACTCTCTTTGGCTTCTCCTGCAGTCAGAATATTCACATCGAGGAGGACTCACTTTACAGGTAATCCTCGAGTTATGACACTTCACTTAGCGATCATTCAAAGTTGCAACATACCCCCCCCCCAAGTTCTTACAGCACAGTCCTGCGCCGGGTGAAATTCATCAAGTTCTGCCAGGTTCTGGAGAACCGGTAGTGGAAATTTTGAGTAGTTGCAATATCCTTCCCCCAGGAGTGGGGAGTGAATGAGGATTTTGCCGTATCCTTCCCCTGACACACCCACCAAGCCACGCTCACAGAACCAGTAGTAAAAAAAATTGAATTTCACCACTGGCCCTGAGGTTACAAATGTTGCAGTACCATGGCAGTCGTTCACCCTTACAAACGACCGAAGAAGTACTGAAACAATTGCCCTGCCTAGACTCCCCACCCCCAGCCAGCTATCCATGTGCAATGGGTCTGTGGAGAGACTCAGTTACCTAGTTGAGATTTAGCATGGAGATTTAGCTCTCCTTCCACTCTGCTGCGGTTTCTTTGCCTGTTCCAGGTGCTCCAAAAGTGGAGCAGTGAGAGGAGAGGGAGACAGGGATGAGCGCATCATGCTTGGCTTCTTTGACTCACCGTGTCATGCCCCCATCAGAGTCTGAATCCAAGGGGGAAGATGAACAGTTGACAGAGAGCAGGAGAGTGGATCTATTGGCTGTGGAAGAAACTGGGGAAGAGCAAAGTGAGGCTCGACAGAGTAGGGGACAGGTAGAACAAGGGAGAAGGAGTTCAGATGAAGACCAACGTCCACCCCCTCCTCATCCTAGGGTGCACAGGGAAGAACGCAAAAGAAAGCAACATGGGTTGCGAGGGAGGAAAGGGCCCGGATTCCCTTCACAAGTCACACCTGGGGATGGAGTTTAAAGGAGAGGAAATTGGGAGAAGTGGGAACAAACACTGAGTTCAACTGCTTATCTGAGTTCCTGGCATCCTTTCTACTGATTTAATTTACTGCCATGCTACTTCACTTCTGGAACTCCTTATCTTGCGTGCCCTGCCAGATTAATTACCTTATCTTGCCTTGTTGGATTTATAATTGGAAATGTTCTGCTTACAACATTTGGACTTGAGTATTTTCAGCCAAAGGCTGTTGCAGGTTTGTGGAAGAGCTTTTCTCCAGGCCGGAGAATTGAATGGGACATTGTGGGCACAATTGGTGTTAATAAAGGGACTCATACCGGTTCTCACTTCTCTGGCTGTGTTGCCTTCGTGCCATGCCCCGGGTCATCATACATCGAGGCTGCCTGCCACTTTTGGAGTGCCTTGGTAAGTCTCCCCCAAAGGCTTCCAGTTTTGGTGCAGAAAAGCATTGCCTGCCGACTGGAGGCTTTGAGGCAGCAAAATTGCATTGTTACAAGCCTCCCGTCAGCATACAAACAGAGACTGGAAGCTTCTGGATGTCATGATTTCATGGGACTTTGAGCACCCATTCTCTGCAAAAGCAGATCGTTGCCTGAAATCTCGTGAGATCAAGGCACCCAGAAGCTTCCAGCTCTGCGCAAAAAGTGTTCTCACGCCAATAGGACACTTTGAGGCAGTGAAATCACACTGCCTCAAAGACTCCCATTAGCCTGTGATCACTTTTCGTGTAGAGACTGGAAGCTTCTGGGGGCTGTGATCTCGAGTGACTTGTCAGAGAAAGGAGCTACTAATCTATCATTAATTATCACTGATAATGTTCTGTACTACTACAATACTACCTGTATTTTGTGACCTAATTTTTCCAGAATACTTAATTGAAATAGTCTTGCAAAACTTATGATCTAGTCACTTTTCCTTCTTTCCTTGCTTCCTCCTTATAGAATATTGGGAAGCGAATGTCCTGCTCGGATTTCATTGGGAATCTGGAAGGTCTCAATCAAGGCAGTGATTTCCCCAGAGAACTACTCAAGGTAAATCCAACTAGAGGTCTTCCTGGAAAAACAGGGAAATATAAGGGAAATTGTTGCTTGTCGATTTTACTAAGCTAGTTCCCGAGATCTGGCAAGTCCAGGAGAGTTGTTGTTTTTTTAATTCCAGTCCATCTTGGACTACAACTTTTTCAAGAGCAACCATACCTGTCACTATACTATTTATGGCAGCTCCCTGTTTCATTTTAGCAAAGAGCCTACTATGTGTGGGTATGGTGTGTGTGGTGTGTGCATGTGCATTGAGAAATTTTTATGTATTTACATATATGAGCCATGGTAGTGTAGTGGTTAGAGTACAGTACTGCAGGCTACTTCTGCTGCTGCCGGCTGCCTGCAATTTGGCCCAAATTGTTGGGGGCAATAGGCTGACTTTGTAAACAGCTTAGAGAGGGCTGTAAAGCACTGTAAAGCAGTATATGTCTAAGTGCTGTTGCTATATTCTGTACATATGTATTTTGCTGGGGATAAGAGATTTGGGGTGCATCTGGGTGTGGGGCAGATACAATGTGATTCCATAGAATATTTGTACAGGTAGATTGTGTATATATTCAAATCTGATATATTTTGAAAGCTCAGAGATGGTATGCTACTGGTTCAGATCAGACCGCCCAAACTGGTAGCTGAAATCGCAGGTGGCTAGCTGACAAGCCCCTGGCTCTATGGCGTCCCATTTAGGCCATTTTTTCACCAAAAGTGCATGCACGGATCTGCACACGCTCACATTTGTGAACCGGTAGAGAAGGTAAGTGTATTCCATCCCTGGGAAAGCTGCTTTGGTACCTCATGTTTTGAAGGAAAAACTGCCTTCATCCAAAGAAGTAGGGTAAGGCATATTCACCATTCTGTATCTTAATGACACCACTTTATTCCCCTTGAAGCTTGTAGGAGATAAAATATTCTAAATTTCTGGCCGGTTATAAAAACTCAAAGGTATTTTTGTGTATTTATTGCTTTTTTGTTAAATGCTAAAGGTTTTTTTTTTTAAAAAAAAATTACAAAGCAAAAAGATCTGTTTCCTTGTTAAAGTTTTGTTTGAAAATATATCCATGTCACTGAAAAGGGCAATGGAATTTCAACAGAGCAAGTTTTGTGCAGGAGGTTACCTGAACAAGTTAATGAGTTTTTTCCAAAAATATTAGCATTATTTTATGGAGGGCTGTTTGGATCTTTCCCAAACATTTAACCAATGGTGGGATTCAGCCAGTTTGCACCACTTCAGGAGAACTGGTTGTTAACTTTCTGAGCAGTTTGGTGAACTGGTTGTTGGAAGAAATCATTAGGGCAGAGATCCTATTGTTAAATTATTTGAATCTCACTACTGCACTTAACCAAATACTTATCAGCACTTATATTTTTTAAAGACTATTCATATTTAAAATCCAGGAAGTTAGAACATTGTCCTGATTTGGGATTAAATCAGTATCTTATATTGATTAACTAAGGATTGTAACTCTGTTTTTAATTGGTCTTGCTGTTTTTTAATTTAAAAATTTATAAACTACCCATTTTCATTTTGAATCTGAAGAATTTACAAATATACATATGTAATAAAATCCAAGTGGGTTAGGTTGTATCAAGTTGGATTCCAATCTTACTGACTGCTGGGGCAAGGATATGCCTTCTTGACCCATTTTTAATATTGTAATAACCTGCAGTTTTTTGAAGTACATTGCAGTAATATCTTTGATTCTATGCATATTTATCTACTTTGAATCTCCATTTATTTCCCTTATTTTACCAAAAAGGATTTTCACTTGCTTACATCATGCATCCTAAATATATGAGTTTCTGCTTGTTTTCATCAAGGAGAAGCTAACTTTTGATTTGGTCTAATCATGATCATATCATGGTTTTGATTAAAAATCTGTAGTTTGAAAAGTATCTTTGATGCAGTATGGAGAAACCATTATTTTAATATTCATCATTGACTTTAGTTGTCATAGAAATAGCCTTATCCTTTATAAACATCTCATTAATAAGATTTATAATTGCCTTCCTCCCTAATAATTAATATTTTTTTATTTCTGCCAAGTTCTGTCCATCTTTATTTTAGCTCACCAAAAGTAATGATCTTCCATAACTTCACTATGTAGATAGACCTTGGTCTCCTTAATATTTTATATTAAAGCAAACATTTCATTTCCTGTGCTTATTTTCATAATAAACTCTTTTAAGTTTTCTTTCAGGTAATAAACTGGTGTTACCTGCATAATTTGCTACCATTTTGTGCTCCAGTTGTGATTCCAGCTATCATTTGTTTTAAACATTTGTTTTCTAAATTAAACAGATATGATGAACAACATGCATCATTGTAAAGATTTCTCAGAATAATAATCCAATATTCTGGAAAATACCTTAATCTTAATACATTCCACATTCTGTTTTTGCTGTAGTCAGTGAAAAAAATGGTAATCTTATATTTCATGATTTATGCTACTTGTTTGATCTTGTATTCATCTTGACTTTCTTATAACCTGCTTGTTCATTTGTTTCCTGATGCATGGCTCAACCTTTTGTGAGATCATTAAGCAAAACTATGCTTGTGTGAAGAATTAGTCCAAACACTTAGTAATTTTCACATTTCCTTTCTTGGCATGGCATATATACAGATCTTTTCTAATCACTGTTTTTGTGAACATGCAGCAGTTAATATTTTCTTCTGAAGTTTTAAATAATTGAGCATAATTAAACTTTCCTCTGTGACAGCTTCTCTATAGCCTGCCATCTCTCTCTTTCTGGTGGAGTTATTGAATAGTATCTTTTTTTTTGGGGGGGGGAGGTTTCTTACATTCTGTAATCCTTTTTTTAAACAATTCAGTAGAGCCTTTCCATCTTTCTTTATCTCATTATTTATTATCTTAGTTGTTAATTTTACTTGAGTAATTATAAAATCAAGTATATCATTTTTCCTTTCCTTGCTATGTTCTTCTATTAGATCATAGCTTTCCTTGTTTTTTTCTTGCTTTATCCTGAAAGTCTGCATTATTATGTATTCTTTCTATTACCCAAGGAAATAATACGTTGTCCTTTCTGTGCCTACCAAACAAGCTTTCCTAATACCTGGCACTGAAAACTACTTAGATCTATTCATCTTTCAAATTGTGTTTTTTTTATTTTTTATATATATTCTATTATTCCTCAGGTTCACCTTAACACACTAAGTTCCAGTATCCCTTATTTCTCCAACTTTTGGATTTCAATCACAAGGCATTACATTCAAGTTGAAAATGCCATTTAGTATAAATCCTTCCATTCCCCACTATCCCGTCAGAATTGAAGAAGCTTCTTGCATGAGAAGTGAAATGTCTTCAACCCCCTCCCCAAAAAAGTCTAGTTGCCTCTTGGAAGAAAAAAATGCACCTTTGGGAAATCCATAGAAATACAACAAGGATGCGTGGTTAAAGAAGGTAGAAAAGAATAAAAAAAGAAGCTGAAATGAAAAAACTGGTAATAATAGCAAAAATGACAAAGATCAAGAATTGGTCAGCACCAAGTGAAGATGAACTGCATGTTTTTTCCTTGAAACATCTGACTGGTCTACACCCACTTGTTGCCAAACAATTTAACATATACTGCAAAGAGGTGAAACTGAAGAGTGGCTAACAAAACGTACCTGGTAATGAAAGATCCAGCAAAAGGGACAGCACAGGCCAATTACCTTGCTTACCAACTACTCTCAAATTGCTAACTAGTGTGGTAGCTGATGCCATCCAACAGCATTTCATTGAAAACAAGGTGTTTCCACCTGAGCAGAAAGGAAACTGCCCCAACAGCACAGGAAGAAAAGATCAACTACTAACTGACAAGATGATTTTGGAAAACTAAGAGAAGGAAGATCAACCTGAATGTCACATGGATTGGTTACAAACAGGCATTTGACTCTCTGCCATGTGACTGGATAATCAAGTGCCTAGAAATATCAGAGGTCAATGGAAACTTCAGTAGGCATGTGCAAAGATCGATGGCACAATGGAAGACATGGTTGGCAGGTCAATGGTGAGAGACTGGGAGAGGTTAATAACAAGAGAGCAATAACAATTTCAAGGAGATTCACATTCACCACAATTATTTATCATTGCATTGATTTACTAAATAATTTGAGCCATACTTATCTTTTTTTTAAAATGCCAGACTATCCCACCTCCTTTACATGGACAATTTGCAGCTATTTGGAAAAACACCTGAAATGGAATTGCTGCTCAACACTATTCATATATACAACCAAAATATTACAATGGAGTTTGGACTGGACAAATGTATCACACCATCAAACAGAAAAAAATAGTGAAAACTGAAGGAATGAAGATTTCCTATGGAAACAATATCAAGAGTCTGGACGAAGATAATAACTACAGATACCTGGGTATCCTTCTGGCTGACAACATCAAGTACAATGAAGTCAAGAAAAAGGTTAGAGGTGAATACATCAAGAGAATGAAGATGTTCTTAAAGTCCAAACTCAATGGAGGAAATACCATTAAGGCAATCAACACCTGGGCAATTTCAGTCATTAGGTATACAACTGGAATAGTGGACTGAACTTAAGCAAAATAAAAGCCATGGACAGGAAAACCAGAAAAATAATGACAATGAATCATGCCCTTCATCCTTGCAGTGACATTGATGGACTCTACATACCCAGGAAAATAGGTAGGTATGGAATATTGCAAGGATATCAGATGGTTGGAGATAGGGGTGGGTTTCAAAATTTAAAATTAAGAAAAAAAGTTTTTGTCCTCCCTGGCCTCCAGGAACACTCTGCAGGCAGTAGAAGGGTTGGGGAAAGGCAGAAATACCTCCATTTTTGCAAAAAATGGGCAGAAAACAGCCCGTTTTTTGCAAAAAATGAGGCATTTTTGCCTTCCCCCAGCCCTGCTGAAGTCAGCAGAATGTTTCTGGAGGCTGGGGGAAGGCAAAAATGCCTGTTTTTGCAAAAAAAATGGCCCATCTCTGGGACCTCTCTGGGACTAGCATGTGCACAC